GACCTTAATGTAGACAAATTTAAAAAACGGGACCCAAAATTAAAAATCTAAATACATGGTTAGATTCGGCATATCAAAGAACCCCAATAATTCAATTTTTGATGAAATCAAACAAAGTTTAATTTTGGACCCTTTGGACCTCAATGTGGACCAATTTAAAAACGGGGCCCAAAATCCAAAAACTTAATACACGGTTAGATTCAGCATATTAAAGAACCCCAAGAATTCAAGAATAAAACCCCATTGAAATTGATCAAGAAATAAGCAATTTATACGAAGTATCTTCTTTTGCACAATACTGTGCAATTGAATATTTCTTGCTATTGCGCAATACTGTACAATTGACAATTTCTTGCTATTGCGCAATATTGTGCTATTGGATATTTCTTGCTATTGCGCAATACTGTTAAATTGAAGATTTCTTGCTATTGCGCAATACTGTGCAATTGAAGATTTCTTGCTATTGTGCAATACTGTGCAATTGAAAATTTCTTGCTATTGCACAATACTTATTATATGATAATTTACACATCCTGTTTGGTGTGTATCTCCTACCATATCATTATTATTTGCTTTTAAATATAAATCAGAAATAACCAACTTAAAATGGAAAATTTTAAAAGAAAAAAAAAGGAAAAAAAGAAAAAAAAAAAAAAAAAAAAATCCCCCCCCAAATTTTTTGAACCCCCTTATGATTCATCACCCCCAAATTCAATCCCAGCCTTCCCTTTGTGGTATGGTACCTTGCAGTACAATTTCAGAGAGATCCATACACTTGAACACAAGTTATTGTCTGGAAACTAGAAAAATGCTTATTTTTGGCCCCTTTTTGGCCCCCAATTCCTAAACGTTTCGGGCAATTACCCCCAAACTCAATTCCAGCTTTCCCTTTGTGATATGGAACCTTGTAGTACAATTTCAGAAATATCCAAACACTTACACACAAGTTATTGTCATGAAACTAGAAAAATGCTTGTTTTTTGCCCCTTTTTTGGCCCCTAATTCCTAAAATTTTGAGGCAATTACCCCCAAAATCAATTACAGCCTTCCCTTTGTGATATGGAACCTTGTGGTACAATGTCAGAGAGATCCATACACTTACACACAAGTTATTGTCTGAAAGTTACAAAAATGCTTATTTTTGGCCCCTTTTTGGCCCCTAATTCCTTAACTGTTGGTACCATAACCCCCAAAATCAATCCCAACCTTCCTTTTGTGGTATTGAACCTTATGGTGGAATTTCATGGAGATCCATTCACTTAAACTAAAGTTAGAGTGCGAAAACCAATGTGTCTTCGGACGACGCCGGACGACGACGACGACGACGACGACGACGACGACGACGACGACGACGCCAACGTCATACCAATATACGACCAAAAAATTTTTAATTTTTGCGGTCGTATAAAAATGTTAAAATAAACAAAATTTCAATTTCATTGTTCCTATCATGTAGTGGTATTATCAGAAACTGGACATAATCATCTCTACATATTTACAAACTCAGTTTTTTGTTTTAAACATCTGTTTGTTAAGTAATATTATCTATCCCTTTATCAGCATGAGATGACAGATTTACAGCTCTACTTAACCATTTTATAATTGAGAGAAGATATGAAACTTTCATTCTGAAGGGTTTAGATGTAAGACTGAATACAAAGTCTTTAAAAAATCTATAAAACTTACCTTTACTTATATTCAAAATATCTAATAATGAAGAGTGAATTTCAAACTACATTTATACATAATTTCTTCTCTGAAATTAGATTTGATAATATATCTATTTTTAACTATGATTCTAATTTCTATTAATTGTGCAAAACAGCTCTGAATTTTGATTGTGATTACTGGTATACATTTGACATAGCATAATTTCTTACACAGAATGAATGTGGTCTAAGAACTTAAAAATTTGAAATTAGACATTTACCAATTATGGTCCAATATCCAAAATCTAAATACATGGTTAGAATCAGCATATCAAAGAACCACAAGAATTTAATTTTTGATGAAATCAAACATGTTTAATTTTGGACCCTTTGGACCTTAATGTGGACCAATTTGATAACAGGGTCCAAAATCCAAATCTAAATATAGGGTAAGATTTGGCATATCAAAGAACACCAATAATTCAATTTTTTATGAAATCAAACAAAGTTTAATTTGGGACCCTGTGGACCTTAATATGGACCAATTCAAAAACAGGGCCCAAAATCCAAAATCTATATACACGGTTAGATTCAGAGCATATCAAAGAGCCCCATATATTCAATTTTTGTCAATATGAAAGTTTAATTTTGGACCCCGATTTGGACCAACTAGAAAACAGGGCCCATAATCAAAAATCTAAAAACATGTTTAGATTCAGCATATCAAAGAAGCCCTTGAATTCACTTATTTTTAAGAATCAAACAAATATTAATTTTGGACCCTTTGGACCTTAATGTGGACCAATTTGATAACAGGGCCCAAATCCAAAATCTAAATACATGGTTAGATTCGGCATATCAAAGAACACCAATAATTTATTTTTTGATGAAATCAAACCAAGTTTAATTTTGGACCCTTTCAACAGGATCCAAAATCTAAATACACGGTTAGATTCAGCATATTAAAGAACCCGAAGAATTCAATACTTTGAATTAAACCCCATTGAAATTGGTCAAGAAATAAGCAATTTATACACAGTATTATATATAATTTAGAAAAGTATTGTTTTTGGCCTCTTTTTCCTAAACAGTTAGAGTCATAACCCCCAAAATTAATCCCAACCTTCTTTTTATGGTATGGAACCTTTTGGTACAATTTCATAGAGATCCATAGACTTATACTCAAGCTATTGTCTTGAAACCAGAAAGTCCAAGTTTTTTGCCCCTAATTCCTAAACGCTTAAGGCCATAACCCCCAAAATCAATCCCAACCTTCCTATTGAGGTACAGAACCTTGGGGTAATATAGAGAACCATACACTTATACACAAGTTATTGTCCTGAAACAAGAAATAAATGGGGAATGTGTCCATGGGACACAGATGATGCCCCAGCTTGCATATCATATAAAGTTATAAAAGGACATAACTGAAGAACGATAAAAGTGACACCACCAAAATTCAAACTTGATCTGTATTTTGTGGTAATAAGCATTGTGTATAAGTTTCATAACATTTGGTTTAGGTTAACTTAAGTTAGAGAACGGAAATGAAAATTCAGCAATTTTTCCATTTGTAAAGGGGCATAACTCTAGAACGGTTAAAGTGACATCACCAAAATTCAAACTTGAACTGTATTTTTTCAGGTCATAAGCATTGTGTATAAGTTTCATATCATTTGATTGAGGCAAACTAAAGTTAGAGAATGGAAACATAAAATTCATCAATTTTTCCATTTGTAAAGGGGCATAACTCTAGAACGGTTAAAGTGACGCCACCAAAATTCGAACTTGATCTGTGTTTTGTGGTAATAAGCATTTTGTATAAGTTTCATAACATTTGGTTGAGGCAAACTAAAGTTAGAAAATGGAAATGTAAAATTCATCAATTTTTCCATTTGTAAAGGGGCATAACTCTAGAACGGTTAATGTGATGCCACCAAAATTCAAACTTGATCTGTGTTTTGTGGTAATAAGCATTTTGTATAAGTTTCATAACATTTGGTTGAGGCAAAAAAGTTAGAGAACGGAAACCAACTTTGGGAAGTACGTACGGACGGACAAGAGTAAAACTTAATGCCCCCTCCGCTACAAAATAGTAGTACATGTGAACTGTCCATTACAGGATATATAATTTTTTACAAAACTTAATAGTATAGTGGCACAGTTTAAGTTGTAAAAGGAGTTCCCATGGGAAATTGTATTGTCTATATTGACAGAATTGCAACCTTTAGATACATTTATTTTATAATTTCACACTTGCACTGCTAACAATCTTTGTAAAAAGTGCAATAGCATTACTCAACTTTCTGCAGTAGTTGGATATAATATTCAGATTCTACCACTGCATCGAGTGTGATTTGTTATTTCTCCACTCGAGATAGTTAAATATCTAAAATTTAACTGTCGAGAGCAGAGAAATATAGTATTGCACGACATTTGGTTATAATCAGTTTCTCTAATGATTTTCAGATGATATGCAGTCAAACTTAATCCTTCTTTTCCAATGATCTGCAAAAAGACGTGTTCTTTCTATGTAACGTCATCAGGCATAGTCGCCTTATTTTGTGACATCACAATAGGAAATTCAGAGGAAAGCAAGTAAATTTGACGACACAAACGAATTTAAACCAATGAAGGACTGAGATCAAACAAACCACATTTTGATTAAATAAAAATAATCAACAGGACAGGTCAGGAAAAGGATAAATAGGTAAAGAATTCGAGGAAAATATTCTAAATATTGATATTCTGCAGTAGTTGGATATAATATTCTACATATTGATATTCTGCAGTACCGGTAGTTGGATATAATATTCTACATATTTATTTGCAGTAGCTGGATATAATATTCTACATATTGATATTTTGCAGCAATAAAATACATGTATAATAATCTACATACCAGTTTGGTTGAATATTACAAATTGCAAATTCTTTATCCCCATGCAAAAGCAGCAAGACAATGCTACAGTCTAGTCATGGTAATATAATAAGTAACTAGGAAGAAAATTCCCAAAGAGATGTATATATACAATTGTATACCAAATGTAAGAGATGTATATATACAATTGTGTACCAAATGTAAGAGATGTATATATACAATTGTATACCAAAACCAAATGTAAGAGATGTATATATACAATTGTATACCAAAACCAAATGTAAGAGATGTATATACACAATTGTGTACCAAATGTAAGAGATGTATATATACAATTGTATACCAAAACCAAATGTAAGAGATGTATATATACAATTGTATACTAAATGTAACTGTCATCCAAGATTTGCAGCATTCACCAGCATAACTAAATGAGTAGAATAAGGAGTGACACAAATAATATGTAATACCTCTCTAATGCTAATTTTTGCTGTTTTCTCTAGACCAGCTATCATCTGTCGAGATTCTAATAACAGCTTCTGCAACTTACTGGATGGTGAGGCCTCCACCTGCATTAAAATTCATTATAACATTAATGATGATTGACTGGTTTATATTATACAACATAACACATCTTTAACAACAGACTATAAGCATGAATAAAAAGTCAAAAATTAAAACAACAGGAACAAAAGAAGATGTTAATTACTTTAGTAGATAAATAGCAACCCATCAACACAAATAACCAAAAGATATCTAGATATAAAATTGGATTTTACTATAATAAAGACTGAAATTTAAGTCCCTTGGTATTGAGAACTTAACTTGGACATAAAATTTAATATGAATTTGTTAAGCTTCATATAATGAATGGTTAGAGAGCCCTATTGACCCAAGTTGCATGATTGTAGATTTTAAATCTAAACTCAAGACATTGAATCAATTCATGTACGTGTAGGTGACCTTGTTGAATACTGATATTCTCAGCAAGATGCAGCATTTCACTTGTATGGTATAAATTTATGACAGTTGGTATATGAGAACTAAACATGGTCATGACTTAAAATAAGTCATTGAAGCTTAAAACTTAAACAAAGGTGTCCTTCCATTTACTGTATATTAACAAATAAATTTTAGATAGAAAGAATAACTATCTATACTATTAAATGAGAAGACCTCATTTTGTGTGTTGCTTCTCTTCCTTCCACAATAAATTAATCATCATGCCCTTATGTCCTAGGTACCATGCATAATCGCATTTGTCATCCATTCTTATGATTATTCAGTTTGGGTTATTTTGGGAGAAAAACGAAAATAAAGGCGTCCGGATATTGTTTCCGTCATCGGACGCACTTTTAAGTCATAGACAAGACTTCCGTTTAGCACTGTTTAAAATTACACGTAATTTTCATATCAAAGTACTTGGGGACAATTATTTTCGCGTTTATCTGTACACCATGATCATACATATGCTATAAATAAAGTGTATTTGCTATTTACTATCAATTCCAAATCTACTATCCACGGCGGTCACTGATATATTATGTAACGGAGATGCTGAAATAATTTCCCTTGGCAAGGATATTGGATGACGCAAAATAAACACTATCACCCCGGAAGAGCGGAATAATGAACTGAATATTTATATGAAATTATATTGTGATGATTTTGTAGACGTTTTATCCAACTTACTGGATATTTTATAGAAGACTTTGCCATTCTTATGGAGGAATTATACCTTTTAAAATGAACTTGTGAAAATAATAGACTTATTATAATAAAACATTTGTATTGGGGTCACTATTACTATAAGAGAAGTTGAAATAGCTCTGCACTCATAGACTGTGAACATTACCTAACTTAGTGAATGTTTAGGCTTCATCATTCATGTATAAATTTATATAGAATATTTAATAAAGTATCTGAACATCTGTATTTGGTCTCAATTGACAGAGCTCAGTCTCAGTGGAACGAACCTTTGTCCGGATGAGACACATAGAGGGGACGGTGACGCATAGCCACCCAGCCCTCCTGTTACCATTATAAAGAGAGTCTCTATATATAATATATATCAGTTACCGCCGTGGAAAGTAAACTTGGAATTGATAGTAAATAGCAAATACACGTTATTTATAGTATATATGTATGTTCATAGTATACAGAAAACGCGAAAATAATTGAAATTAACAGAAAACAAAAATTAACGGACTTTGGAAAAAAAGGGAAGGGCTAAAACAATTGTTCCGTCCCCAAGTACCTATGACTTTTGATACCTTTCCTGAAATTCTCCAGTCATAAAACCTTTTACAAAAATTCATCAATTAACAGTTTATATACTTTCAACTATACTCTTAATACCAGCGATTTCGCGGGTGTGTTCTAGTATTATTTAGATAAGAATAAGAAGCTGCTGAACCAACGCCTTTGTGGTGAAGTGAAGGTAGAGTCACTAAAGAGGATACCCGATGGTATGCAGGGTTGTCAATAAAAATAAATAAATAAAATATCGCTGGATTGACAACAACACTTTAGTGAACTGCAAGTTTTATTGTGTCGATATTCAGGACAAGTTATATAGAAATTACAATCCCTGAAGTATAAAAAAATGGTATCTAAATTTTAACGTCATAATGTGTTTACTCCATTGTCTTTGTTGTTCCTGGTTACCAATGTATGAATGAAATGAAATAAAATGCTCCGCTGGGGCGCAGCTTGATACGACCGCAGAGGTCGAACCCTGAACAGTTGGGGCAAGTATGGACACAACATTCAAGCTTGATACAGCACTAAATTTGGATTGTAATTAAATATTTGACACAGCATAGGTTTCTGACACAGAATGAATGTGGTCTAAGAACTTAAAAAATTTTACCTATTCAAACCATATCATTATTATTTGCTTTTATATATAAATCAGAAATAACCAATTTAAAATGAAAAAGTGCTGAAATAGTGTACAAAAAGCTAAAAGCTAATGCCAGCAACTCTTGATTGGAATCCTCATGTCTTGCATTCTGAGATATTTATTCTAGATGTAACAGAACAAAATTACTTCTATCATAATTATGCAGTCATTTTTAAGATTTAGGAATGAATCTCTAAAAATATTTCTTTAAATATTGACTGACCTTCACATAAAAACAGCTATTATTTTGGTTTATTTTAAGTTTGGTTTTATTATAGAAATTTGTATTTTTCTAACCTCTTTTCTTGGACTTCCTAAATTAAAACTATTATTCAAATTATTGTCTTCATCATCTTCATCATCTAGATAATTGGACAACTTTTCTTCAAAAGAAACTCTCTGTCTCCTGGATGAGGACATTTGTTGAACAGTAAAGTCAACTTGGTGTGTCCCACTTATTCCACTGTCCCTAGTTAAACTACTTATTCCACTTTCCTTAGCACCAAAAAACTGTCCATAATCCTGTTTATCCTCAACATACTTATCATCTATTGTTGCTTCACCACTTAAATTGCGCAAATGTTGATCAAACCTTTTTTTAATATTATTTTCACCAGTTTCACCCTCTTGAATTGTCTCCCTTTCATCATATATCATCAGATTATTCTGGTCATTTATATTTTCTTTTGATGGTTCATATGCAAAAGTTTCAATGTCTGCTAACATAGCCTTTTGTACATGTTCAGACTGTGGAGTTTTATATTTTTCAGAGTAATGTATTGAGGGAGAAAGCGATCGTTTTTGCTTCATGGATTCTGCAAAAGTTTGTTGTGGAGATAAATCTGCTGTTATTCGACTGAATGATTTACTACAAGAGAAACAACTTCTTGAAGCACTGAAAGAGAAAAAAGTTATAATTATTCAATCTGCAACTTTTACTTCAAACTCTCCAATGTGTGTACAGACGTGCATACAGTATCCCATTCAATAAAGGGAATAAAGTTGTAAAATATCTGATAATCCTGATAATTGCATAACTTTTAAGAGGTTCCAGCTTTGAATAAAGGAGACAAACTATAAGCTGTACATGCAAAATATTTCAGAAATTGACTATTAAAAGTTCAACAACACAATGTTATGGACAAAATCAAATTTCTTATTTTATGCTATTAAGTGATATAAACTTATTCAGATTGCCTGGAAATGACAATGCTACACAATCACTAAAATATTTGTCTTTCTATACAACATAATTTAATCTTTTTTTGTATGTATCTCTTATCAGTATTTTTGCTCAAATATTTAGACTTTTATATATAATTTACTAGCCTCAATTCTTCTAAACTACTTTGTTGCTTATGTATAACTTCTTTAGAACTTTCCAAATTCAACTGTAACAGAGTCAGTTCCCTCTGCTGTCTCTCAAACAACTGAAAAATAAGTTACATGTTAACAAACTGATGATGAGGCTGTTGGTGCTTAATAATTAGCAAAGTACAAAAAAAAATATAAAGTGTAAACTTGAATCTACTTTCTACCATCTTTAAGACCTACTTATTGTTCCTAATTTCGGTTATGATAGATTGTTCAAATTATAATTTCTATTACACAAATTTGCAAAATAATACTAGAAAAACATCACCATCCTCATAATTTCAGCTATTGAAATTAAATCAAAACAAAAATTTGTCATATTGATCAAGTTTGCCACTCCTGTTACTTTATTCCAATTTGTTTACAAGGTTATGAATCCATAACAGGTATATATTTTGGGAAAATATTCTAAATTCAGAATTCTTAAAATGATTGCTACAAGAAACTCTTGTCTGCGTCATCACACTTGATTGCCATGTCCCCGCAAATATCTTGTGCTCTGTGATGTCTGCATGAAGTTTTTTTCTTAATATAATTGTATGTTTTCATACTGATCTATCTTCAAAGGCATATGGTTGTTATTGAATATCAAACTGCTTACATTAATACTACATGGCATCTAGATCTTGCTGTAAGGTGTATTTCAGTTCATTGTTGAAAAATTTCCAGCAACTCTTAAAATGAAGGACAACATTGAAATTCTCTCAGTTTAACCAACTGTTTTTTTCCTTTTGTTTCATGAGATTGCTTTCTCAACACAATATCCCTTCTGGTCCAATTAAACACACAGATTTTGTGATTATACTAAAACTCACAATGACTTGATTCATACAAATTATCAGACAACCTGATCAAGGATCCGGAAATTTTTTCACACAATTTCGGTCATTTTGAGATGATTGAAAAGTTGGTGCCCCCCCAATTGTTGATGTCAAACTAGATTCATAGCATCAACAAACTTGTATTGATGTTTCATCGCATTTACTAAGTAAATTTCATTTTTCTAAAAACCTTCAAGAACAGTTTAGGGAAGGCAACAGTTTAAAACTGAAATGATTTTAATGACTCAAAATGGTTAATTTCTCAGACATTGCTTACGTTTCTTTCGATTTGACAAAATTAAAACTGGAAGTTTTGCGATAACATTAAAGTACGAATAATTCTGGATTCATTTCCGGGATTCCTTTTGTTTATCAAATTGACAGGAAATCACCGGCTTCTTTTTATTTTATTACCTTTAAAAGTGTTTGAATATAACAGATTATAGTTGCACTCGTTTATTTTTACATGAAATCAATTTGCATTTTACGATTAAATATTTAATTTGCTGAAGACAATTTCACGCATGCGTATTACATAGTAAATAAAGCACATGTGTTACTCATGAAAAAATACTTTTTTCTACGTCAATTAAAGTAAGGTTTATTTTTAAATCAGAATTGATGATTGTCTTTGCTGAAAGTAATTAAATAATGAATACACTTGTCAGGGAATTTTAATTTCTTAAAGATATTATTCTGAGCTTGTGACCAATATTGTCAGGTGTGAATTAAAACCACAGGTAAAAAGTGATTAGCGATCATTAGCAAATGTTTCCCAGAGGCATTGATATAGATATAAGAAGGGCCCTCAGGATTATCAAACTACTGGAGTGACAGTTTTATTACAGGAAAGGGATTATAAACAAAAACAAGTGATCACAAGTGGAAAATGGCGATTAAGAAACCCGATTTCAAAAATTAGGTCAATGAAATGACCGAAATTATTTCTGTTAAAAAATAAAATTTGTCCTAAATCCCAATTACTCGTTTAGGACATATAGCTTTCATCTTAGGACATGACTGGCAAATATGACCGTTTCCGGACCCTTGAACCTGATATAATAAATGATTAGGAAGCACTGCTTTTTTAAGACATCAAAAGTTTTGATACTGACTGCCAATTAACTGGTACTTCAAATTTAAAAAAAGTTTATACTGACATTAATGTGTTTTAGGCCATGAATTAAGACAGTAGTTTACTGATGTTCTAATATCATAAATATAGATAAAGAAGACAAATCAAGATAACAAACAAAAACCAAGGGAATAGCATAAACTTTATAAGGAGCGAGACCAGGTGCATTGACAGGGTAGGTGTCTCCTGCTATACATGCATCACCCTCCATGCCAATAAACAGGTGTTTTCTTCCCAATGAACTTTTCCTTTTGTTTTAAAAAATATTACAGGAAAGGCAAACACAATTTGTTTTTAGTTAAATCTTTGCATTTAGATACCTCTCTAAGTTGCTTTAGCTGTGAATCTGTTCTTGTCTGTTTTGATTTTAGAGATTCAATCAACTGGTCCTTACATTTCTCTCTACTGTCTACAAGTAAATTTTTTTAAAATTAAATATAACTAATAACAGATACAGTCAACCTAATAAACAAGCCAATCAAGTAAAAAATCAAAGCACTGAAGGGAAAAGGTCACATTCAATTTTGAAACAATGAATTGTATTTGGCTAGGCAAATTATAAATATGAATTATAGAATAACTAATCGAAGAATCAAATAGAGAAAAATATTCAACGAGTGACCGAACAACACATTAATTCACGAATGCCCGTAGCGCATGAGTTAATTATCAGTGTTGTTCAGTCACGAGTTGAATAATTTTCGATACTTGAATTCTTTGATTAGTTATTCTTTTTATTACATTGGCAAATGGCTTTTTTTAATGAAATTAATGTAGAAAATGTAAGGAACTATATCTTTTTTCTACGCGTTCACAATTTGTTTTGATCCGATGTTATCGACGTCTTGACAACGCCTATTGTTGTATGATGTCAGAGAGTGAAATAACCACGTTTATTTCACATGTGAAATTATCGGTTTTTATTTGACTGTGAAATCAATGTAATTCAATGCTACCAATGTAATAATTGGAGTTATCTTCTTTTGTTCATAACTGTATATTTTTAGATGAACCTTTTGTTATAACAGATTCATATGCCATACATTACTTATGTATGTATGAAAACTGTGTCTAATCCTTTTGGCCATTTTGAACAATAAAATATGTTAAACTTATGTAATTTTTAATATAAAAAAAGTTTTCTTGACAAGTTTGGTTTTTTAAAACACACATCATATTTTAACTTGAACATTTGAAGATTACATATCATTAATAAATTGACACTGACTGGATAGGATCATAATGATCACCTCGCTGCACTATTTTGTTTTAACTATCAAAGGTAGTGATAAACCCTGGAAGATATAGATATCAAGTCAGTACTATAAGGGTTTTGATTGCATTTCAGTCAATCTTTACCCCAAAATTCAAAGAGCACTGATCTAATACCCCCATCAGTTAACATTTAAGGGCTTGATAGGGGTATTTAATTCTTCATTTTGAGTGTAAGGGCATCTGAAGTGAGGAACAGTAAGGGTTACCACTTTCCCAAATGGCAGAAAAAACACCCAGGATGGTAAATTTTGGGGTTAATCTTAATGAGGATCATCATGAAGCATACAATTACAGATTTCTTAAAGATCCCAGAGGGAACTATCTCTGATATCGTAATGGATAAGCATATATTAGTTAACTGCATTCCTCTAATTCTTTGGCAATTTAAACCTTTCTGTACCCATTGTTTAAAAAATGTAATCAACGTGTGGTTGCCGATGATCTCAGTAGATGATTGGCTAATTTAAAAGGTCATAACCCTTATCAGCACTCTGGATGGAAATGTGCTAACAGGTGATAGAGAAATTGACTACTTTATAAAACCTTGTACAATAGGGATATAGTTTGACCCTCAGAAATTGTTGTTCAAGTTGTTTACTATTTTATATGAATAGATTTCATTAAATGCAATGTTCTTGATCAAAAGTGATCTTTTATTAATGTTTGCTTCCATTTGATCCAGAGATGAATAATTGAAGTTTTTGTGCATCAAAATATTGTAAGTGTAAGATGTATAAATCAGGAATGTGGAAGACACGTGAAGGGGATTTTCGTCTATCAAAAATTTATTTATTTGATAATCATTAGAGAAACAGATTCTCACATAGTTACTCATAGATTATCTGACACATCCAATCTCAATAGTTAAATTATCAAATGTTAATGTCCTCACCTAGGGTTGGGCTTTTAAAATTCAATAATTTAACTATCTCAATTGGATAAATCTGATTGTTCACTGGTGCCAATGTAAGAATCTATATTTATCAATTAAAATTTGAAAACAAGAAATGATTGTAACAGGATGCTGTTACGAAGTCTCCCAAACGAAGCTCCAATAAATCGTCATTCCCAGGTTTGCCTGACATTGGGCAAAGTCCAGTAAAGTTATATGCATTAGTAATGCCTGGGGACTGACCCTGTATATCATTCAAATCATCTTGGCATGACAAACCAGAATATATATGGTTTACGGGTGGGGATCTCAACCATTTACAAGATATTAGATCATTGAGGGTGGGGGGACCCCTGGGGACTGACCCTATATATCTTTTGAATCTTTGTGACATGACGAACAGGAATATATATGGTTTAGGGGTGGGGATCTCAACCATTTGCAAGATATTAGAACTTTATCAAATGGCAGGGGGTGGGGGTGATCCCTAGGGATTGACCCTATATATCATTCAAATCTTCTTCACATGACGAATAAGAATATATATGGTTTAAAGGTGGGGATCTCGACCATTTACAAGATATTAGATCATTGGGGGTGGGGGACCCCTTGGGACTGACCCTATATATCATTCTAATCTTTGTGACATGACGAACAGGAATATATATGGTTTAGGGGAGGGGATCTCAACCATTTACAAGATATTAGAACTTTCTCAAATGGCAGGGGGTGGGGGTGACCCCTGGGGACTCACCCTTTATTTCATTTGATGTGCTTTATCATGACAAACCAGAATATATATGGTTTAGGGGAGGGGATCTCAACCATTTACAAGATATTAGAACTTTCTCAAATGGCAGGGGGTGGGGGTGACCCCTGGAGACTAATACTTTACTTCATTTGTATGTGCAGTATCATGACTAACCGGAATATATATGGTTTAGGGGTGGGGATCTCGACCATTTAAAAGATATTAGAACTTTCTCAAATGGCAGGGGGTTGGGGTGACCCCTGGGGACTAATCCTTTTTTTCATTTGATGGACTGTATCATGACAAACATGAATATATATGGTTTAGGGGTGGGGATCTCGGCAACTTACAAGATATTAGAACCTTCTCAAATGGCAGGGGGTGGGGGTGACCCCTGGGGACTTACCCTTTATTTCATTTGATGTGCTTTATCATGACAAACCAGAATATATATGGTTTAGGGGTGGGGATCTTGACCACTTACAAGATATTAGAACTTTGTCAAATGGCAGGGGGTTGGGGTGACCCCTGGGGATGAACCCTTTACTTCATTTGATGTGCTTTATCATGTAGAACATTTTCAATTATAAAGATTGTGTCTATCACTAACGGTTTTCAAGTTATAATCATTTGAAAAAAAAAAGAAAAAAAAGCCCATAGGGTTCTATAGTAAACCCCTCCCTTCTTTTGGCCCCTCAAAGTACCCCTTTTAGACCCCAATGCACAAACGAAACCCTGATTGCACCACTAGACATGTTAATCTAACATATTGTGAAACCTTAAGTAAATCTGACTAGCGGTTTTGGAGAAATGGTGCGGACAAGTTCATTCAAAAAAGTGGCGGAAGAGCAAGAATAATAATAACTAGATTTGCCATTGCAAGCAATAGCGGATGTCACCCTTCCCCCCATTGCCACTAAGTGGCAGCCATTTCAAAAATTTTAAACAGTGAATGCACATATATGCATGGCAATACATCTTTCTGTAAATTTTCAGAACATTTGGAGCATTTTGAAATTTTCACATTTTTGCTGTTTCCATGGCAACAGCGACCATTTTGGAAATTCCAAAGTCAAAAGTCTTATCTATACATGCCAGTTAGCATTAATATAAAGTTATATTAAGTTTGGTGCATTTTGAAATTTTTGACATTTTTGCTAGTTTCCATGGTAACAAAGACCATTCCCAAAATTGTAATGACAGATGCCACATTGGTACATGGGAGGGAACAAAACATCAAAGTTTCAATGGATTTGACCTACCATTTTAAGAGAGAAAATGCTACTTTAAGGTTTTTCCCATAGGGTTATAATGGGAAACCTTTCCCCAGTTTCCATGGCAATACAGTAGTTCCGATGATTCTTAAAATCATCCAAAACCTGTATATAGTGGATACCTATGTTGTATAAAAATTTGATGATTTTTAGGTTAGGCATTCTCAAATTAGTCATCAAAAACAAAAAAAATATTTTTCACATTTTTGCTGTTTCCATGGAAACGGCGGCCATTTTAAAGTTCAAAAGTTTCACTGCAACTCCTCTGATGGTGGTCCTCATTATGCTCAACAATCATGAAGATTGGTTCAATTGCCTCAGAGAAAACTGCCTGACAAAAATTAGGTGGAAGAAAAATAATAGTAATAGGGAAAAAGAAACAGAGGAAAAGCAATATGTCACCCGACATTGTCGATCGGTGCAGCCATTTCAAAAATTTTAAACCGGGATGCTTATATATGCATGGCTATACATGCATCTGTAAATTTTCAGAACATTTAGAGCATTTTTGATCAATTAAAAATGTTTGACATTTTTGCAGTTTCCATGGCAACGGTGGCAATTTTGGAAATTCCAAAGTCAAAAGTCTCATCTAGACTTGCCGGTTAAGAATCATATTAAGTTTCATTAAGTTTGGAGCATTTTGTAATTTTTGGAAATTTGACATTTTTGCTGGTTTCCATGGTAACAGAGACCATTCCCAAAATTTAATGACAGGTGCTACATTGGTACATGGGAGGGAACATACCATTAAAATTTCAATGGATTTGACATACCATTTTAAGAAAGTAAATGCCACTTTTAGGATTTTGGATCATTTTGACCTGTTTTACATTGTTTCCATGGTAACGGCAGACATTTTTGAAATTCCAACGCCAAATTCCACATCTACCATTGTTGCTCATCATTACTGTGAAGTTTCATTAAATTTTGAGCATTTTGATATTTTTGAAATTTTTGGTGTAGTTTCCATGGCAACATATAGTAGTTCCAGTGATTGCCAAAATCATCCAAAACCAGTATATAGTGGGCACCTACATTGTATTAAAATATCGTGATTCCAAGTTTATGCATATCCAAATAATCCACCAAACTCTAAAATTTTATTTTTTTTACCTTTCTTTGGTTTCCATGGTGATGGCATCCATTTTTTAGTGCCAAAGTTGCACTACAACTCGTAAGTTAGGGTTCCTTGTTATAGTGAACAACCATTAAGATTGGTGCATTAGGCTCTGAGAAAACTGCAGGACAAAATTAGGTGGAAGAATAATAATAATTATCGGTCGTCCCACTGTCTATATCACTCTGCTCAGCTCTAAATAAAATTGCATATCACGGCTTTGTGACGTCAAATACATTGACCCGGCCTTAATAACTTTGACCCGGACATATCAGCGACGTCATAATGTTTGAACCGACGTTGATAAGTTTGACCCGAACTTATCAAGTCATCTTCCGGTTTGCTGGTGAAACAAAGAAAACACTTCCAAAATACGCAAATACAGCCCGATAAATCGATTATCAGGTTGGCTGCATATTGAGATTGTAAAATATCAGCTGCTCAACCTTTATGCATGGTATGTTTTATCATCAAATACAACATATATTTAAATATTGAAACTGAACACAAGTGCGGCCACTTCCATTTTAGTCAAAAACCGTCTAAAAAATTAGCACAAATGCTATAATTGTGAAGATTTCAGTAATGTTGCATTAATTAATGATGATGCATATGCATTGTATAGTCAAATACAGCCCATATTTATGTAACAAAAGTATTCTACTTTCCAATGAATAGCTAAAAGTTTACATCTTAAAAAAAATAGTAAAATGCTATATTTTGGAGCTAAACAGGGTTCTTACCAGGCTTACTCCTTTAAAAAAGACAAAATAATATGGTTGCTAGGTGTTTTTCCCAATTATTATTGTTCTAATAGACTTCCAAGAAATTAACCAAAGTTGGAAACTCATAATTTGAAATCAAATTGTTCTATATAAGGTTTTGGTCAATATGTTTTAAAAAGTTATGTTTACATTTTACAAGGTACTTTTCTTTAAAAACTGCTAGTCTGGGAGACTTCCAGGAAATTTACAAATAGTTGGAATCACATCCTTTTGAAACTCAATTCTTCCATGGCATTTGTAAGTCAAAAAGTTTCCCAAAATATATAGTTGCTATATGCTTGTCCAAATCATTATTATTCTAAAGGACTTCCTGGAAATATACCAAAATCGAAAACACATCCTTTTGTAATTAAATTGTTCCATCTCAAAGTTTGGGTAATAATGGTTCCATAAATGTATGGTTGCTGGCTGCTTATTTAAAAATTATTTTAACAGATATCTGGGAAATATATTACAAGGTACAAAGACAGCATTACTTAAATAATTGTGGGTTTGAAAGTCTTTTACGTAGGAAATTAACCAAAACTGAAAACACAACAAATTGTTCAATTAAAAGCTTTAACCAGTTAATTATTTCCAAGTGTCTTTTATGACAAATATTGATATGTTTCCCATCATTAAAGGGAAATCATAACTGTGGTGGAAAGACACTTACTATACTCATCCTGTAAATTTCCTAGCACTTGTTTAGTTTGGTCTGTTATTGTCATCTGATTTTGTAACTCCTCATCTTTTTTCTTTAAAACCTCTGCAATAAAGAAAATACAATTTGAATAAAAACAAGAAGTTGCATGTGTTGTCATGCTAAGCATGCCCCTACTCATTATTAAAGAACAAGAAAACAACTCTTGCTTAGCTTGGTAAGGCTAAAATAAATCCAGATGAATATGGGTAGGGGATCGATATTCTGGTCTGAGATCGATGTATCTGTATGTCATGGTCTTTTATCATTATAATAAAGTTATATGATTTTTTGTCTCTTGTTTATTTCTTTGTTCAGTTACAATTTTACTTGTGGTTTTCAGCCAGAGTAAAATTTCCAATCGATCTTAGCGTGATTTAAATTTATTTGACCATGGGAAAACTTCCGACTCATCTAAATTTTCGAGTCAACCGAGTTTGAGACAGTACTATGATGTTATTTATAGCAACTCTAGCCTTGAATTTTGACCTACTAAGTAAAACTTAATATAAAAGAATTCCTCCCTTTCCTACTTTCAACAATTTGTATATGTTTTATTCTAATATGACGTTCCTCAAACGCTTTGAGTAAACACCTGAGGTAAAATATGAATATATTGTATGTCAGCTGATCATGATTTGTTTGGGCTGTTCCGATCATACTCCCACGTCATATGCTTTTTTATGAATGAGCTACCTGACGTCGATCCGTGTAAATGACGTCATTGAACAATGACGTAACAATATAAGCATTTTACGGGAAAATGCACGGTTGTGAATCTGAAAGTCATCAAAACAAGGAAACATAAACTAATGATGATAAAATTTGTTAAAAGCCAATTTTTTTATATATAAGTAAGATTATCATTTATATTCATCCAAACCTATCTAATTAGGTTATTGTAAATAGTTTAAGCATGTCACTAGTTCAGTTTTCTCCATTCTTTTACGTCAATATTAATAGTGTGTTTAATTTCGGGAACGGCAAATGTTTGCCTTCACCTAGAGCGCTTCGATCCAAAAGAATTGCCGTATTTGTCAATTAGAATAGAAATAATTCATGTGGGCTTGAATTTATACTGATTTTACAACAGATTTGCCCTTTATGCCAATATTTTACCCCTCTCTATCGCTCGTTGTAAAATATTTAGCATAAAGGGCCAACCATTGGTAAAATCAGTATTAATTCAAGCCCCCATGAATTATTTCTTAATTAAAGTCCAACAAGTGTACCTTAAGGTCAAGTTACTGTAAATGGGCTAAAAACAGTCACAATTAACAAGTACATATTTTGTATTTTCCTTGTTTTACACCCACTTTTAAGTATATTTTAGATTCATACTTGCCAACTTTTCGAAATCGTCATAGGGGATTTTAAGCGCAAGAGGACATAATGCTCCTCTTATATTGTCATAAGTGTTTTTATTTACTACTATATTGTTTGAATGAGTATATATGTGCTTAATTATCCTTTTAACTCATTTGAAAGCCTGTTTTGAGGTGTTCAGTTTATATTATAAAGAATTTCAAAATTCAGGTCAACACCTCTCATGGGGGATACCCCCCCTCCCCCATAAATCGGTATAGTTGGCAGGTCTGTAGATTGGAAAAGTATGAGTGCACCAAAGAAACAACTTTATATTTGGTAGGATTATGAAAATAGTTATAATAAAGCTTCTCTTAAATTATTTTGTTGTTTCTCAGCTGCGCAGGATGTTTCCACAATGGAAATGACAACTGAAAACTGCATGAATTCTGCAGTGTACTTCATTTTTATAAAAAAAACAGTGCATATTATGACATAATTGTGACATCATCACATCTAAAATTTTATGTAATTAATTTTTATTTCTTGATTTTGTGCATTTCTAAACATTATGGGCATATTTGAAATAGTTCTCAAAAACTTTATTTTCTTGGGCCAAAACCGGCCCTTATTGCCCCTACTCCTTTAAGAGTATTTTTCGTCGATTTTATGTGCTTTCTATACAAATGTTAAACTATTTTGACAGAATTCAATCAGCAATATATTTCAGAAAATAAGAGATAAATGCATTATTTTTTCAATTTTCAGTTATAGTTCAATGAGCCAAAATTGTATGCAAAGTTTTACCAAAATCTGTGACATAGCCCATTTACTGTTTCTTGACCTTAAGTAGTCACCCAGAAACCACAAAAACTCAAGTTATCATCCGGAAACCATTTTTTAACAACAAAAAAAACTTTTTAGTAACGGCAACCTGGAACTTTGCCTTTTTGACCCCAAAGTCATTAGGATTCCTCCCTTTCCCTATATCTTCCATTGATTTAAGTTTTTACTTAAGGGAAATGTTAAGTATGATTAAAACCAAGAAAAAAAAAATAAAAAAAAAACCCACTACAAAATACCAAAACATACATAATTAAAAAAAACTATATAAGACCAACAAAATCTAAATAAAAAAATAAACTGAAAAACAGGATCATGGGAATCGGAGAGATAGAAATAATAAAATGTTCCGCAGGGCGCAGCTTGATACGACCGCAGAGGTCGAACCCTGAACAGTTGGGGCAAGTATGGACACAACATTCAAGCTTGATACAGCTTTGCATTTGGATTGTGATTAAATATTTGACACAGCATAGGTTTCTGACACAGAATGAATGTGGTCTAAGAACTTAAAAATTTTAAATTGGACATTCACCTATTATGGTCCAATATCCAAAATCTAAATACATGGTTAGATTCAGCATATCAAAGAACCCAAAGAATTCAATTTTTGATGAAATCAAACAAAGTTTAATTTTGGACCCTTTTGACCTCAATGTGGACAAAGTTGATAACAGGGCCCAAAAATCAAAAATCTAAATACATGGTTAGATTCAGCATATCAAAGAACCCCATATATTCAATTTTTGTTGAAATCAAACAAAGTTTAATTTTGGACCCCGATTTGGACCAAGTTGAAAACTGGGCCCATAATCAAAAATCTAAATACATGTTTAGATTCAGCATATCAAAGAACCCTAAGAATTCAATTTTTGTTAAAATCAAACTAAGTTTAATTTTGGACCCTTTGGACCTTAATGTAGACCAATTTGAAAACGGAACCAAAAATTAAGAATCTAAATACACGGTTAGATTCGGCATATTAAAGAACCCCAATAATTCAATTTTTGATGAAATCAAACAAAGTTTAATTTTGGACCCTTTGGACCTCAATGTGGACCAATTTAAAAACGGGGCCCAAAATCCAAAAACTTAATACACGGTTAGATTCAGCATATTAAAGAACCCAAAGAATTCAAGAATAAAACCCCATTGAAATTGGTCAAGAAATAAGCAATTTATACGAAGTATCTTCTTTTGCACAATACTGTGCAATTAAATATTTCTTGCTATTGCGCAATACTGTACAATTGACAATTTCTTGCTATTGCACAATATTGTGCTATTGGATATTTCTTGCTATTGCGCAATAGAAGATTTCTTGCTATTGCGCAATACTGTGCAATTGAAGATTTCTTGCTATTGTGCAATACTGTGCAATTGAAAATTTCTTGCTATTGCACAATACTTATTATATAATAATTTACACATCCTGTTTAGTGTGTATCTCCTACCATATCATTATTATTTGCTTTTAAATATAAATCAGAAATAACCAACTTAAAATGGAAAATTTTAAAAGAAAAAAAAAGGAAAAAAAGAAAAAAAGGAAAAAAAAAAATCCCTCCCCCCAAATTTTTTGAATCCCCTTATGATTCATCACCCCCAAACTCAATCCCAGCCTTCCCTTTGTGGTATGGTACCTTGCAGTACAATTTCAGATAGATCCATACACTTGAACACAAGTTATTGTCTGGAAACTAGAAAAATGTGTTTTTTGACCCCTTTTTGGCCCCCAATTCCTAAAATATTGAGGCAATTACCCCCATCATCAATCCCAGCCTTCCCTTTGTGGTATGGTACCTTGCAGTACAATTTCAGAGAGATCCATACACTTACACACAAGTTATTGTCCTGAAACTAGAAAAATGCTTGTTTTTTGCCCCTTTTTGGCCCCTAATTCCTAAAATATTGAGGCAATTACCCCCATCATCAATCCCAGCCTTCCCTTTGTGGTATGGTACCTTGCAGTACAATTTCAGAGAGATCCATACACTTGAACACAAGTTATTGTCTGGAAACTAGAAAAATGCTTATTTTTGGCCCCTTTTTGGCCCCCAATTCCTAAACGTTTCGGCAATTACCCCCAAACTCAATTCCAGCTTTCCCTTTGTGATATGGAACCTTGTAGTACAATTTCAGAAAGATCCATACACTTACACACAAGTTATTGTCATGAAACTAGAAAAATGCTTAATTTATGCCCCATTTTTGTTCCCTAATTCCTAAAATGTTGAGGCAATTACCCCCAAAATCAATCCCAGCATTCCTTTTGTGATATGGAACCTTGTGGTACAATGTCAGAGAGATCCATACACTAACACACAAGTTATGTCTGGAAGTTACAAAAATGCTTATTTTTGGCCCCTTTTTGGCCCCCAATTCCTTTACTGTTGGTACCATAACCCCCAAAATCAATCCCAACCTTCCTTTTGTGGTATTGAACCTTGTGGTAAAATTTCATAGAGATCCATTCATTTAAACTAAAGTTAGAGTGCGAAAACCAATGTGTCTTTGGACGACGACGACGACGAGAACGACATCGACGACGACGCCATATCAATATATGACCACAAAAATTTTTTTGCGGTCGTATAAAAACTACAGGTTTGCTGTTGAATTATCAAGTAATTACACAAAAGAAAATATGTTACTTTATAACCTGCTAATTATAAACACTGTCAGTTTTGTATCATTAGGTTTCTGTGTCACTGGTCTATACTCTATACCCCACATTTCGTTTTCGTCATAAAAATTTGAAGAGTTCTTTTTACACATCTGAACAAGATTTTTTTAAAACTATAACATGGACCTAAACATTTCACTCATCTTGAGGGAAAAGCACAAATATTCTTAATGTAAAATAAGGCTATGATATTAATACCACTAGATTCCTTCAGATTATTTTTCATTTCTATATACTGATCCTTCCAGTGGTTTGTCTGATTAACTGATTCTAGCTCTTTCTCCAGACACTCCCTTGCTCTGATGTCTAATTGGCGTAATCTGTCACTTAACTCCTTTATTTGAGCTGTAGCCAGTTCTAAATCGTTATCCTAAGTAGGCAGATAAAAGTTAAGTTTAAAAGTTAGGCTTGTATAAAACAACAAAATTTTGGAATAATTCTAATCACAGATTTGGAATGAAGTGGATTGAAAATACATCAGTATATATATAATAAGGAATTCCCAACTTTGACTACTAAAACCGGGTCTGAAGAACCTTAAATGTAGAATAAAATGTAAATGTAAAACAAGAGTGCACACGCTGAAATGTCTCGCCTTCTTTACTAACCATTGATATTATGTTGATAGTCCTAAATATAAAGCTTTACTAAAACTATCACATAAACTTAACTTGATCCAAGAAAATGAGGTCAAGGTTATATAAACCAAACTAGAAATACATGTACACCTTACAATCATTCAATACACTAAATATAGTTGACCTATTGCTTATAGTTTCTAAGAAACAGACTTAACCAAGAAAACTAAACATTGACCAATGAACCGTGAAAATGAGGTCAAGGTCAGATGACACCTGCCAGCTGGACATGTACATCTAACAATCATTCCATACACCAAATAAAGTAGACCTATTGCATACAGTATAAGAAAAACAGACCAAAACACAAAAACTTAACTATAACCACTGAACCATGAAAATGAGGTTAATTAAGGTCAGATGACACCTGCCAGTTGGACATGTACACCTTACAATCCTTCCATACACCAAATATACTAGACCTATTGCTTATAGTATCTTAGATATGGACTTGACCACCAAAACTTAACCTTGTTCACTGGTCCATGAAATGAGGTCGAGGTCAAGTGAAAACTGTCTGATGGGCATGAGGACCTTGCAAGGTATGCACATACCAAATATAGTTATCCTATTACTCATAATAAGAGAGAAATCAACATTACAAAAAATCCTAACTTTTTTTTCAAGTAGTCACTGAACCATAAAAATGAGGTCAAGGACAATGAACATGTGACAGACGGAAACTTCGTAACATAAGGCATCTATATTTGAAGTATGTAGCATCCAGGTCTTCCAACTTCTAAAATATAAAGCTTTTAAGAAGTTAGTTAACGCCGCTGCCGGATCACTATCCCTATGTGGAGCTTTCTGCGACTAAAGTCGCAGGCTCGACAAAAATGACTTATACCAATGGTTCGTGAGTAAATAATGATTGCAGATATTTCTCTGTATAAGAGAACCCAACATTTGATTCCCTAATTTCATTTCATCTTAGGAACTTTTAATAACAAAATCAATTCAGGACACATACTTAAGACTACATGTTGGAGAAATGATATAAACTTGGTTCAAATCAATTTAATATATTAACAGTTGTTCTATTTATTACCTTTCTTACTATCCATTGAAAGAGAAACAATTAATTGTCATTACCAACCAAGTAAATTAGAGGGAACAGGTATCTAAACATACAGCAGCTTATAAAGTATTCATGATACACCTAACAAAAAAAACCTAACTTAGTGTTGATGAACTACATACATACTCAAATATTTTAGAGGTAGAAATACATACATCCACGGACATGTATATCTCCTTAATCCTGGTGTTGAAATAGCAGACAAATGCACAGATCAAAACAATACTTGATCAGCTGCTTGATGCAGACAATCCCTTACAAAAAGTGATTTCATAATCTATAGAAATTTAGTAATGTACAACAAACCTTCAGTTTAATTTTAGTGAGAAGCTCCTGTTCTTTGGCTTGAAACTGTCCCTTTATACTGGATATGTCTTTTAATACACTTCTTAATCTTATATTTTCATCCTGTACATATATTGAAGGATAAAATATATCAACTCAAAAGCAAGAGGTAATGTTTCAATTAGTAAAATATAAGCAGATATTTGATTCACAAAAATGTTATTTGTATTTGTGCCACATTCCATGTTACCATCAAACTTGCTCCACAAGTGAGTTTATTTTCATCTCTGGTTATAAAACAATCAGAACCCTAGAAAGTCTCAGTTGTTATTCTACACCAAAAGAGACCCCTTTTACATATATATATGCAAAGAGAATTAACAGGTATTGCACTAAATTGGCTATTAGGCAATTTTTTTGTATACTCATTCAATTATCTCCATAAAAATGCTTCATATTTGAGTTGAGGCTGATATCTTACAATATATTTTAATATAAAACTTACTCTATTGTAAAAATCGTTTAAATAGTTTATAATTTATCCAGTCTCCTTGCACAAATGCCTTCCTATAAGATGCATCATCAATTACCTGTTATAGGACCTAACACAAATCATATTCAGATCAGAAATCTGAGCAGGTTTATTATCTCCTTTTAATTTCCTCTAGCAGTAGTTGATATCTTCACAAGATAGTGCTACTGAAACAGGAACTGTTTTAAAAATTGGTGAATGCACATCAAAACTTTCAACAAACTTTCAAACAAGCAGCTCAGTATCGGTACTTATAAAATTAGGTAAAAACTGGTTACTATCAAACCTCATCTTTTTAAATAAAACAGAAGTCTTGTTAGTCAGCAGATCTATACATTTTGTACAAAATTCAAATCTATTCTATTGAGGTCACCACGATAAAATATTTGCAGGAATCATCTCATACCTTTAAATCCTGTACATATTTGACCTGTCTAGAATTTTCCTCTGTGATTTTATTCAGTTGATCTTGTGTTGTCTCCAATGTTGAGTTTTGTGATGTAGTTTCATTTCTCATTGACCTCAGCTGTGCAATTGCTTGTCTTAACTGTTTAGTTCTGTGCTTGACCTCCTCTGTAAGTGTAAGCCAGTTATACATTTAAATGTTGGCTCTCTACCAAGTAAATGAAATGTTTAAAATATAATTATAAGTTAGTTTCATAACCAGTGACAATTGGATATCGTTTGATATCAACTCAAATTATTAATATCATTATAGTAATAAAAGACCCTTTGGCCAGTTTATTTTATTACCATCTGTATATAAATTAAATAAAGAAATGTTGATATCAAGTGGATTCTCTTTGTGTTAAATAGAAAATTATGTGAGTCATATATAATGCGACTTGTTGATCGTCTTTGCACATATAACAGTATGACGTTACATCATATGTCCTGTTCCGGTGAAAAACTTTAACATCAAACATTTTAAAACTTTTTATATGCTTCAGAATTCAATATAATTTAACAAAGAGAAGATTTTCGGGTAAAAAGTGTGAGTGTTTTGTATATATATATTATTGAAGAATTTCAACAATCTCTGTTGCCATGGAGGAAATGTAGATTGTTTTGACCTTTATAAGTCATAAATGACCTTAAGAATAGCCAATGGAAATATGGTTTCATGATGCTGGATAAGCCAATAAAATGAATGCATATTTCATATCACTTATTTGTATCACACTCCATGCAGTGTGATATGACAAATATCTCTTCATGCGAGAAACAGATAACAAGCCACAACTATAAGAGAAAATATGGTATGTGTAAAATGTATGATGGTATCAATCTAGTTAAATGGAAACAACCACAACACCTCTTACTGCTATCACTTAAATGAGGACTATTCCAGTAAAATGAATGTGGGAGCCCCAGAGGGAAGATCAGGACTTTCGTGATCCCTAGTTTACAACAAATCTACTTTTGAAAAGATCAAATGGACATACAACCCATTTGAAATGTCTGAAAATAAAATTTCCTTCTTTCCCTCCTAAATTTCTAATAGCAAGCAGAATATTTTACTGCATGATGCAAATGCCCAGCAATGACAAAGAAGAAACTATATGTGTCAGTACAAAAGGTACTAACTTGTAACAAAAAAATTAAAGGACAAGTAAAGTATCAAATGGTAATTCTAAAAATTGTCTCAGCTTTTTAATCTTATTTTAAAATGTGGTTAAACCAGTAAGAGTCACAAACACCAATTATATATGTATTTTATGTACATAGTGGATGAATTTTATCGTATGACAGTTCTATAATAATATATTAGAATTGTAATCGGATTTAATACCCTTTTATGAACCTGAGTTTATAAATCAGGTAGACTCAAGTTGAAAGTATCGACAAGGGTGTTAAACATTTTGTAAACTTGTGATAAATATTAATACTTCTAGTTTTATGGTTGATGTTATAGAAAATGGTAACAAAATACCTCTGTTAAAAAAACCTGAAAACATATATCTGAAAAATAATAAATCTGCATTAGAGCAGGCAGATTTTGTATCAAGTGCAATCAAAGAGCTTTTATCAGGTGGGTTAGTAAAACGGGTACAGATTAAGCCACATGTTTTTAATCCTTTAACTGTTTTAGTTAACAGTAACGGTATACAGAGATATCGCTTGATTTTATACCTTAGATACCTTGGTGATGTCTTAGGGTTAGATAAGAGTCAATTACCAATCCGCATATTGCATGATGTCTTTAGTTTTCAATGTTGTGTTTTGTGTACTGTATGTTGTTTGTCTGTTTGTCTTTTTCTTTTTTTGCCATGGCGCTGTCAGTTTATTTTAAACTTATGAGTTTGAATGTCCCTTTGGTATCTTTTGCCTCTCTCTTGACATGTAAATGCACAGGTTGTTGATAACAAAGTCAAATTTGAAGAATATGTAACTTTGAATTATTATGGGTATGTCTTTGATTTAAATTCAGGATACCATCATTTGAACATTTTTGAGCCACATCCAAAGTATTAGGATTTTCGTGGAAAGGAAACTAGAGGCTCTAAAGAGCCTGTGTCGCTCACCTTGGTCTATGTGCATATTAAACAAAGGACACAGATGGATTCATGACAAAATTGTGTTTTGGTGATGATGATGTGTTTGTAGATCTTACTTTACTGAACATTCTTGCTCCTTACTATTATCTCTATCTATAATGAACTTGGCCCAGTAGTTACAGTGGAAAATATTTTGCAAAAATTTACAAAAATTTACAAAATTTATGAAAATTGTAAAAAATTGACTATAAAGGGCAATAACTCCTTAAGGGGTCAATTGACAATTTTGGTCATGTTGACTTATTTGTAGATCTTACTTTGCTGTACATTATTGTTGTTTACAGTTTATCTCCATCTATAATAATATTCAAGATATTAACCAAAAGCAGCAAAATTTTCTTAAAATTACCAATTCAAGGGCAGCAACCCAACAACGTGTTGCCTGATTGGTCTGAAAATTTCAGGGCAGATAGATCTTGACCTAATGAATAATTTTATCCTGTCAGATTTGCTCTCAATGCTTTGGTTTCAGAGATATTAGCCAAAAACTGCTTTTTACCCTATGTACTATTTTTTAGCCATGCCGGCCATCTTGGTTTGCGGGCGGGGTCATCGGACACATTTTTTAAACTAGATACCCTAATGATGATTGTGGACAAGTTTGGTTAAATTTGTCTTAGTAGTTTCAGAGGAGAAGATTTTTGTAAAAGATTACAAAAATTTACGAAAAATGGTTAAAAATTGACTATAAAGGGCAATAACTCCTTAAGGGGTCAACTGACCATTTTGGTCAAGTTGACTTATTTGTAGATCTTACTTTGCTGAACATTATTGCTGTTTACAGTTGATCTCTATCTATAACAAGAAATGATTGTAACAGGATGCTGTTACGAAGTCTCCCAAACGAAGCTCCCATAATTAGTAATTCCCAGGGTCGCCTGACATTGGGCCACATCCAGTGAAAATTGGTTTGGTCCAGTAAAGTTATATGCATTAGTGATGCCTGGGGACTAACCTTGTATATCATTCAAATCATCTTGGCATGACAAACCAGAATATATATGGTTTAGGGGTGGGGATCTCGACCATTTACAAGATACTAGAACATTGGGGGTGGGGAGGAACCCCTGGGGACTGGCCCTATACGTCATTCAAATGTTCATTACATGAGGAACAGGAATATATATGGTTTAGGGGTGGGGATCTCAACCATTTACAAGATATAAGAACATTGGGGGTGGGGGGAACCCCTGGGGACTGACCGTATACGTCATTCAAATGTTCGAGACATGACAAATAGGAATATATATGGTTTAGGGGTGGGGATCTCGACCATTTACAAGATATTAGAACTTTCTCAAATGGCAGGGGGTCAGGATGACCCCTGGGGACTAACCCTGTATTTCATTTGATGTGCTTTATCATGACAAACCAGAATATATATGGTTTAGGGGTGGGGATCTCAACCATTTACAAGATATTAGAACTTTCTCAAATGGCAGGGGGGCGGGATGACCCCTGGGGACTAACCCTGTATATCATTCAAACCATCTTAGCATGACAAACCAGAATATATATGGTTTATGGATGGGGATCTTGACCACTTAGAAGATATTAGAACTTTCTTTAATGGCAGGAGGTGGGGGTGACCCCTGGGGACTAACCCTGTATTTCATTTGATGTGCTTTATCATGACAAACCAGAATATATATGGTTTAGGGGTGGGGATCTCAACCATTTACAAGATATTAGAACTTTCTCAAATGGCAGGGGGTCGGGATGACCCCTGGGGACTAACCCTGTATATCATTCAAACCATCTCAGCATGACAAACCAGAATATATATGGTTTAGGGGTGGGGATCTTGACCACTTACAAGGTATTAGAACTTTCTTAAATGGCAGGGGGTGGGGTGACCCCTGGGGACTAACCCTGTATTTCATTTGATGTGCTTTATCATGACAAACCAGAATATATATGGTTTAGGGGTGGGGATCTCGACCATTTACAAGATATTTGAACTTTCTCAAATGGCAGGGGGTCGGGATGACCCCTGGGGACTAACCCTGTATATCATTCAAACCATCTTAGCATGACAAACCAGAATATATATGGTTTAGGGGTGGGGATCTTGACCACTTAGAAGATATTAGAACTTTCTTAAATGGCAGGGGGTGGGGGTGACCCCTGGGGACTAACCCTGTATTACATTTGATGTGCTTTATCATGACAAACCAGAATATATATGGTTTAGGGGTGGGAATCTCGACCATTAACAAGATATTAGAACTTTCTCAAATGGCAGGGGGTCGGGATGACCCCTGGGGACTAACCCTGTATATCATTCAAACCATCTTAGCATGACAAACCAGAATATATATGGTTTAGGGGTGGGGATCTTGACCACTTACAAGGTATTAGAACTTTCTTAAATGGCAGGGGGTGGGGGTGACCCCTGGGGACTAACCCTGTATTTCATTTAATGGGCTTTATCATTTAGAACATTTTCAATTAAAAAGATTGTGTCCATCACAAACGGTTTTCAATTTATAATCATTTGAAAATTTTTAAAAATAAAATCCCATAGGGTTCTATAGTAAAACCCTCTTTTCTTTTTGCCCCTCAAAGTACCCCTTTATAAACCCCATTGCACAAACAAAACCCTGATTGCACCACTAGACATGTTAGTCTAACATATTGTGAAACCCTAAGTTAATCTGACAAGCGGTTTTGGAGAACGGGTGCGGACAAGTTCAAATTTAAAAGCGGCGGAAGAAGAAGAAGAAGAAGAAGAAGAAGAAGAATAATAATAATAATAAGAACTGAGCAAAAACAATAAGTCTTCCCAAACTTCGTTTGGGAGACTTAATAATATTCAAGATAATAACCAAAAACGGCAAAATTTCCTTAAAATTACCAATTCAGGGGCAGCAACCCAACAACGGGTTGTCCGATTCATCTGAAAATTTCAGGGCAGATAGATCTTGACCTGATAAACAATTTTACCCCCATGTCAGATTTGCTCTAAATGCTTTGGTTTCAGAGATATAAGCCAAAATCTACATTTTACCCCTA